TCAGAAGTGAAATTAGAAATCAACTCAGCTCTGTCAAATGCATTTAAAAACACCAGCGATGCATTCTGGCCAACTCACTACAGATTTCAGTTAAGATTCTAAGAGCATTTGCTCATCTGTGTCTTGGGTGCAGAAACATTTTTAAAATAATCAGCCTGTGGAACCCATCATTTTAGAAACTCCATTTGGAGGACCAATCCTCTTTCCTGGGTCGTCCCATGCTACAGGATTGCAAGAAGGAAGCTGTGCATCAGTTTTGAAGACATTTCCTGGTGTCATTTCTGAAAGGGCTAATGCAGATGCCATGTTTTGTGAACTGGAGATCCAGGGTCCCAGGTGTGGGAGAAAGTAAATTCCCCAGAGAGGATGCCTGAAAACAGAGAGCCAGACTGGGACACACTTGGGGAACCTAAAGTCATTCAGTAGTATCAGAATAACAAGGAATCTGGCTGGAGAGTGTGCATGGATATCCAATGGTCAGTACTGATTCTTACCTTTCTGGAAATCCCAGCCAGAAGAGTTGTCTTGTCTTAGCTGAGGTTCACTGGATTTGGGGAAAAGGGTAAAAATACACAAGTCTTTTCTGCCCAAGCCTGGATTTGTCTTTGAATTATTGCTGAACAGAACCTCTAGATGAGAGACCAAGGGCTTAATGGTGGTGGACTGCAGAGATGACAAGCAAGGGAGGTCAGGCAGTGGGGCTGGAATTCTCTCTCCACTGAGCCTATTATGTTACCACGTGAGCTCCCTGCTATTATCTGCACTGAGATGAGAAATGGGCAAAAGTTAGAGCAGATTGGAGGCCCATAGGTGTGTTTTACATGTCCTTTTTTTTTTTAATAGCACAGTGTTTGTGCCAGTGGATGGGCAGAACCCATTGTTCCACCCCCTACTATTCTCACTCTGTGTATCCCCTTCTCCTTGAGTGTGCACAGGAACTGTGATGTGCTTCTAGCCAATAGACTATGTCAAGGAAAAAGGGATTTTGCTAATGTATTTAAGGCTCCAAATCAGTTGATTTTTACTTAAAGTAAATCACTTCAAAGTAAAGCATCATGATCCATCCTGGGTGGACCTGGGATGAAAGCCCTTAAAAGAGGTACTCGGCCCTTCCTAAGTGACAGGCAGTCCTCAAGGGCTTGGTGGAGTAAGTGACCATGTTGGAGAGCCCATGGGGCAGCCTCTATGATCTGAGGCCAGCTTCCAGCCAAGGGCCAGCAAAAGGCTGGCTCATAGGGTTTACAAAGAAATGAAGCTGAATGAGGAGATGTTTCTGGTCAGCCCTCCACTTGAGAATTTAGCCTGATGACATCTGTGTTGCAGTCCTGTGCATCTCTGAAGAGAGGACAAAAATAAGCCAGGCCCATACTCCTGAGCCTCAGAAACTGTGGTGATACATTTGTGCTATCTTAAGGTGCTAATTTTGTGGTAATTTGTTTTGTAACCATAGAAGACTAATATGGCATTTTACAAAGCAATGCAACTAGGCAGGAGTTCCTCCAGGTGAGACAGGGAAGGAGCAGGGGGCAGCCCCTGTCCCTGTCCCGTTAGAGCAAGATAAAGACCCTGGGAAGGACAAACGGGAGGCTTATGAGGGACCTTGGAAATGTGAAAAACAGAGGCCTTGCAGCTGAAACAATGCAATCATGTGTAAGATGGTTCTCATTGAACCTCCATGATAAAAGAACCATTTTTACTGACTCTTAAGTCACTGTAGCTCACATAGGTTGACCAAGGCATACTAGTTAAAAATAGAAATAGCCTTTAGTAAGATTGGCTAAAATATAGCTGGCATTCTGACAGGAACCTATAGAAAAGTAACAGCTTCTCTCCCTGTCGATGCAACAGGCATAAAACCTCTAGACCTGAGCCCATAAATGGCAGCCTTGCCCCTCCCAGTTTATGCCTGGGAGTTCTTTCTCTTTACGTCTCTATGTCTCTCTATCAATAAAAAGCCTCTTGCTTGCTTGCCTACCTTGAGCATTTGCAAAGTTCATTCTTTGGCTCTGTAAACAAGAACCCCGGTATCATCTTTTGGGGGCCCGTCTGGGATCTCTCCCTGTTTTCAGCTGCCTAGAGGGCAACTACCATTCCCGGCTACTCTTCCTTTAATGAGCTCCTTCCTTGCCTAGACTCATTGGACCTGAGAATTCTTTCTCATCCAGAGTCAAGAACCCTCCCCGTCCAGGCTGAGGTTTCTTCTAGTGCTTCACCTAGTGGTCAGGGGGAGACCTCCCAGACACAGCTGCCTGGCAACACAGGTATTTTGTTTTATTTCATATTTATTTTATTTAATTTAACTTAGTTATTTTTTTCTAGTTTTGTTGAGGTATAATTGACAGATAAAAATTGTATATATTTAAGGTGTACAATGTGATGATTTGAGAGATTATAAACATATATGAAAATACTTAGAAACTCTGAGTTGAAGCCTTTGGACAGCCACATGGTCTCACTGTTGCCTTTTTTAGGTGTTCGAGCTATGCGTCTGCATTGCAGATTCTATGATTTAGATTTGTATCTTTGAGATTCTTCAGCATGTGCAATGGGAAGTCAGCTGAGGAAGAGAACAACGGTTTGGTCTGTATTCTGAATCATTAGGAATTCTGCAAGGTTCCCAGATAGTTTTGACATGTGTGTCTTAGATGTGCATGGAGTTTGGGGGTCCAGGGAGTCGTGTGAAACTCCCTGGGTCAACTCTTGGGTCAAAGCAAAAATGGTCCAGTGCTCAGGTAGTCAAGGCAGCTTGAAATTTCAGGCAGTCCAAATTAGAAGTGAAGGAAGCAAGGGCTCCAAAATCTTGGCAGGCAATAAATCAGGCTCAGACATAAGTCATCTGAGCTCCATGATAAGCTCAATTTTGAAGAAAAGTCTCTCAGCCAGGAATGCCTGATACCCAGTGTACATCTTCACCAGGCTAGTGAGGTTCCAAGCATGAAACTGCTTGAGCTAGAGTCCTGTATGTGTTCCTGGAAGAGCAGACCTGATCACAATGCATATTTAGACATGGTTACAATTAATGATGATGTCTTCCTTTCCTGCTTACAAGTCTCAGAAAATTACCTTTGTTGAGTAAATAATAGAATAAGTAGGTCTGATAGGGGCAAAACATAGGAGTTCATTGTGAAAGGGATGACCACATGAGTAGATGTCTTCATATTTCTTGGAATTCAGTGTAGTTGATTTCCATCAATACCTTACTACCATGTAATGGTTTACCATCTTCAAAATATACTTTGAATATTTGGTTTTTATTTATTATGATTTTTATAGAAAAAAATTCCTGTAACTTTAACACACTGGCTTAATTTCTTTTTTTTTTGCATTTCCTTATAATTTTTGTTCAAATATACCATAATTCTTAAATTAATTGTGCTTGTAATAAAAAAAATCCTCTGCCTTTCTTCCACTTATTATTTTGTCATAATCATTTCTCACAGAGAAACATAGTCTCCACAATAATGGTAACATTCAATTGCATATGCCTAGTGTAAATTACTTAAAAAGACTAAGTAAAATAAAGGACATTTTAATGTTTGATATTATAAAGAAATTTCTTCTTTTGAATTTTGTATTTACTAGTTGCATTACCTGATTAATGGTTTAAAATATGAAATGTCTTTTTAAAGTTTAGACTTTAATACTCACAACCTCCATGATGTGAGCCAAGTACATATTATTTTCCTCATTTACAGGCTGAGAAACAGTCTGCATCAAATGGTTTTTCCAATTTTAGTTGGTCAGTAACTATCAGAACCAGTCTTATAACAAATGTCCTCTGATTCTTAGCTTTTTGTTTTAAACAAGGGGTATTGAAAGCTTTTGCTGTTTGTTTGGCTTTATTTTGTTGTGCATTTAAAGTTGTCTTTATAATTTCCCAAATTCATAGTTTTTCCAAATTTGGTTATAAGATTTTAGAGGAAGGGTTTCAAGGGAAAAGAAAAGAAATATTCATCAAGTTTAATATATTTAGACGGCTATCATAGAATAGTGAGATAAAATAATGAAAATTAATGACTAGCACTTATTAAATACTTCAGTGTGATGGGCATTGTGCTAATGCCCCTAAGTCCCCTCGTATGTGGTCTCAACAACTCGTTCTTCTAAACGTTCGCATTTAACACAGTACCCGGAGCACAATGCTACATCCTGAATGGGGCCCACAAGTGTCAGGAGGAGACAATTCTGTTGCCAGCGGCCTCAAGTGGTATGGTTTGGGGAGGCCATCTTTGTGTCAGCTAGAAAGAACCTCTAGTCCCAATTCTGGTGTTTGGCTGGCTCGCCACTGCAATTCCCCCAGTGCTGGTGTCCAGGGGTTCACTCTATAAATTGTTGGGTCAGATCCAGCTAGGGCCAGGGAACCCTTTATCACTGCTCAGAATCTCACCACCTGCAGCTCTGAGTTGAACGAAGTCTGCAAGCCTGGGCCCAAGCTGAACTCTTTCCTTTCTCTTTTCTGGAAGAATCTCCACCGAGGCCAAGTGCTGAAAAGCCTGGGGCACATAACCAATATAACCAGTCCCTCAAACCAGGCAGCCTTGCGGCTAATGCGATCCTTACTTCAAGTTAGGCGTCACCTGTAAGCTATCTTCTGGGCCCAGCTGACCACTTCATTCAGGTGGAAGGGCATAAACAGATTTGCAACAATGTCCCATCTCCCCGGACATGAATAGCTCTTACTGGCCATGTGACCGGCTCAGCCACCGTGGGTAAGGTGGTTTTGTAAAAATTTTTAAGTGAAGTATAGCTGATATACAATCTTATATTGACTTCAAGTATATGATACAATGGTTTAACAGTTACCCATATGATTAAATCCTCATTCCCACCACTGTAGTTACTATCTATCAACATAGGAAGATGTTACAGAATCACTGGCTATATTCTCCATGCTGTACTACTGTCCCCATGACCAATTTGTTATGATGGAGAATTTTTGCACCCAAGCAAGGCTGGCTTTAGGGACCAACACTGGGCTGGGGCCATCTTCCCTTACCTCACTAGCATAAGTTGCAATTGGGGTTGCTGGTGGCTGGCCTGGTGGGACTCCACTTGATGGTGTATATCTCTTTGCTGTGAGCCTGAAGGTCATGGACACCCATATCTTGCTTCATACTCCAGATCTAGATGATGCATTGGGAACAGTGTCAGCAAACACGGTTTCTCCAACTGGAATGGTGGAATATCATTTACTCTGTGAGGGATCATCAGGCTTCTGACCCTGGGAGGCTCACCACCCAGTGGGTGTAGCTCACACAACAGCATGTCACCAGCCAGGCAGCAGCCAGGCAGAGGCCGTGAGAAAGGCCTCGGGGGGAGGGAAGGATTCTCAGCAGGATCCTTGACTGATAAGGAGGAGTTAAGTGGATGACAGTGGCATCTGGTTAGCAATGGGGAGCAGTCAGAGAGGCAGGAAATGCCCACATGACAGTGTCATCACTGAGGAGCAATGACCTGCACTTCTTATTTGGGGTCACCCAGGATCACAGAGCCCATCCTTTCAGACTCCTTTACCTTTAATGTCATGTCATCGGAGCAGGATGCTAGCAACATTCCAGAAGGATCCCACTTAATGGCATTGACTTCATTCTGAAAGAGTTTTTAAAAAGAAATAAAGGTCTGAGAGCAGACTACACAACCTTCCAGTAGGGGGCAGGCCAGCGCAGTCATCTCTGCAAAGAGCCTGTTTGCATTTTCCCTGGATCTCAAACACAGCCACCTGAGAATCCATCTATTTTCCTCTTTTATTTCCCCAGCCTTTCTCGTTTATCTAAAGGCACAGCCATATAGCACACGTAACCAGCCACCCATCCATATTTCTCTAAGGAAAAAAAAATCACAACTAGGAAGGAAGTCAATGAATTTACATATAATAATGGTACATAAAAAGCAACAAGAGCACAGTTATTTAAAAATTGACTGAAAATAACTTTCTCATGCCCTTTAACACAACAGCTGTTCTTTCTGTCAAAATCCCTACAAGGGGCAGAGCCAAGATGGTGGCATGAGTAGAGCAGTGGAAATCTCCTCCCAAAAACACATAGAGCTATGAAAATATAACAAAGAAAAATCTTCCTAAAATAGAGACCACATCCACACCTGCAAGAACCAGCGCCTTGCGAAGGGGGTAAGATACAAGCTCCGGCCCGGCGGGACCCGAGCGCCCCTGCCCCCAGCTCCTGGCGGGGGGAAAGAAACCAGAGTGGTTTTTTTTTTTTTTTTTTTT